TCAGCCCGACTCTTCAACCCCTCCAGGGATCCCGGGGACTCCCCCCTGCCCTGGGCAGCCCATTCCAACGCCCAACAGCCCCTTCTGCACAGAAATCCTTCCTCAGAGCCAGCCTGACCCTGCCCTGGCACAGCTTGAGGCCATTCCCTCTGGGCCTGGCGCTGGGGCCTTGGTTCAAGAGACTCATCCCCCCTCTCTGCACCCTCCTGTCAGGGAGTTGCAGAGGGCCAGGAGGTCTCCCCTCAGCCTCCTCTTCTCCAGACTGAACCCCCCCGGTTCCCTCAGCCGCTCCCATCAGACCTGTGCTCCAGACCCTGCACCAGCTCCGTTGCCCTTCTCTGGACACGCTCGAGTCATTCAATGGCCTTTTTTGTAGCGAGGGGCTTGCAGGGGCAGCCCAGAGCCCTGGACGCTACTTCCACACCTTGCCATCCCAGGGAGCCCCCCCTGCTCCCCAGGAGGGCTTGGCCACGGGGGATAAGCTGCCCTGCAGTGGGGTGCAGGGTCCTGCTGATGGGAATCACCTATATCCGGGTGCTCTCCCTCGGCTGCGCATGGCAGCTGGGGCTGGGCCGGTCATGCTCCCTCTGTCTGGCGCTCAGCTGGTGCCCACTTGCTCAGCAACTTGAAATCATCAGCGTAAATCTGTCCCCAGGGAGCTCAAGGTGACCTCCTCCTCCTCCGCTTCAGAGGCCAGCCCAGCCACCCCCGTGAGCTGCAGAAGGCAGGAGGATACAGAGGATGGCGCCTGCCCCACGCTCGCCGCCTCCCAGCTTCTCACTAAACCACGCTGGACACTCCCCCTCTGCTTGTCTCCTCGCCCCAGGATGTGGCAACCTTTCTCCCCAGGCAGGTAGCCTGCCCGACCCAGCCTCTATCCTTACCCAGAGCCAGGGGAGCAGACTCAGCACTACCAGACCAAGGGCTTGGCTGGGCTAGGAGAGCTCTGCCAGGAACGGCTCATTATAAAGAGTTATATTACAGCAATCAGGAGTTCAGGAGGGTAAGTGAACACCCACACGCTGCTTGTGTCTGCTAGAAAAGCCAGCCTGCAGGGACTGGAGGCAGTCACAGACTAACTGGTTCACCTCTCACCCCACACACAGGCAGGGGAGCACAGGGTGGGTTTTTTAAGCCTGGCCTAAGCTCAGGGCTCCCCCTTCCCATTCCTCACAATGCTTAAAGCTGGCTCAAGCCATCCAACACACACTTTCACACAGGGATGTGCCAGAAGGAGATGGGCAGCCTTCCTGCTCACGAGGGAGGGAGGAAGGTTGACGAAGAGGAGGAAAGGTTACCATGTTGAAGAAGTCCTCGCTGCTGCTAGGCTGGAAGTTCAGGCGAGCAAAAGACAGGATGATGCTGCACAAATGGGTGACTGACAGCTGCTTGGCGTTGTCCAGGGCATACTGGAAGATAAGAGGGGACAAAACCAGAGATTTAGGTCTGTCCTACATGAGTACAGACCGGAAAAGATTGAAAGCGTCAGGAAAGGATGTATCCAGCCCCATGGCAAGATGGGAAAACGCGAGTAGAAGGTCTTTAAGCGTTCCCCTGGGATTTTATCTTGGCATGAGGGAAAGCTGGGAGTGGAAGCAGAGCTCTGTAATATTCTGGTACAGATGCAAGCGTGCAGGAGCATAACCTGGGGCAGAGCTGGGAAAGGTGCCTGGGGAGAGGAGCAGTGCTGGCGCTCAGATGGAGCTGAGAGCAGCCCCAGCTCAGCGCTGAGTTTAGCGGAGGATGAAGAGCGAGTCCTGTCAGACTCAATTACAGCCAGATAGGAAAAACGGCCACAACATCCCAGAGAGCATCTCTGGAGAGGTGTCGGGGGGGAAACTGCTCTTATCTCCTAGGAACTGGGGTGGATCCCAGTCATACTGGTACCAGTGGGGGCTTCCCTCCTCCTCCTCACCTGTGCAATGGCCTCAAACAGCGGCAGGCTGAGCCACTTGAGGAGGGCAAAGGATCTGATGCAGCGCGTCACCTCGACGGGCGTCATGCTGGAAACGTGGGGGTGCAGGTCAGTGGCTATCTTCTGGAAGACCTGGGGCTGGTGGAAATTCAGTTTTCCTTAAAGGAGCAAAGAGAAAGCAGCAGCTGCTTATAAGGAGCTGGTACGGGAGCCATGGCTCGGGGGTGGTTGGTGGCACGAGGGAAAGCACAAAGCTGTTCCTCAGGAGCAGAGGAGGCTCAGAGACTGGTATAGCCTCCCCAGGTTGCCCCAGCCCCATCCTTTGTGGTCAGCCCAAGTCTCTGCTCTCAACACCAGGGCCAGCTCATGGCTCCAGCCTGAACCCAGTGCAGATTTTAGCCCTACTTGTCTCCATTTACAGACCCTGGTCTGACCCCTGAGCCTGCTAAGGGAACCCCGCATCGGCCGAGGAACAAGCGAGCAACCAGCAGCACCAAGCCCCGGAGGGACTGTGGGCAAGTGCAGACCAGCCAGGAGGGGACAGTCCCCAAGAGAGGGCCACAGGCAGCATCCGAGACCAGCAGCAGCAGCAATGACAGGTTCAAACCATCCCGATGCAACAATGTGGCATTGAAGAAACAGCACAGCGTGCTGGCAAGTCAGTCTTGCTCCCAAATCACATCCAGCCATTGTAGTTGCCCACTATGTAGGTTTTAAGGTCAGCGGGCTGCTGGATTACCTAGTCTGACCTCTGTGTACGACCCATGCCCACATACACAGTCCAGCTGCCCTCCCGGAGCTGCAGTACCCACAGCTCTGCCTCTGAGAAAGGTGCCCTGCACGGATTTGGAAGCTGTGACATGGAGCATCCACTATCCTCCTTAAAACTCTTCACAGATTCATCAACTTCACAGCAAGTAAACTGGGAACATCAACGAGAGGAGCACAAGCTCCCTTCAAGGCCAGGCCTACTAGAGTTATTTCTTTATTTTGAGAGTGTAACCACCTTATGAAGACCATCCTGGCCACAGCGGCTGCCAGAGGAGCTGTTCCTACCACCAAAAGTTGGACAGTCAACTGAAGAAGAGCTCCTTGGTTCTCCTGGCTTCCTTTATCCTGCTTGTCCAGGCTTCCCACTGGCTACCAACAGTAAGAGGAGAACAGGACCATGCAACATTGCATGGAAAGAGGAGCCAGAGAACAAAGGATCATGAAACAAATCAAGTATCTGGTGGCTCTGGTCTACCCTGTGGCCAGGAACATCACCAAGGTGGCTGTCACTGCCCTGAGTGTCTGCCAGCATTTGTACAAGTACTCATAGCACCTCACCCACTGAAGATTACAAATTCAGCACCGAGCGCTTCTCAAATGATCATTAATTTGTCACTAGGACACCCTGGGTGGAAAGAAATCAAGATATTTTAGTGCCACTGCTCCCATGTAAAAAGTCCAGTTCTCCTGCTCAGCCCTCCTGTTACCCAGGGCCGAATTTTCTAAGCAACGAAACAGAGGCCAGGGCTCCCTGAGAAACCCGTGGCCACAGGAGGAGAGAGAAGATTTTTGGGGCCATTTGGGGGATGCTGGCTCACTAGCTGCTGACACTGCAGGGCAGAGGGGCTCCCTGGCAAACCAACCACCCTTATGAAGTGCTCTCTCATCACAAGTCCCCTCCTTTCCACTCAATGGAAGGAAAATGGCATACCTGGGCTTGCTCTGCTTGTGCTTAGAGCTGGAAACTACCTGGCTGCACTGGCTGCCATGCTAGGTCCGGCCTAACGTACCCCGCCAGACTTTCTCCTTCATCTGGCTGTGGTAGCAACACTATTAAATCCCCGTTCAAGTGCTCAAAATCAGCTGTTAGCACACGTAACGCCCAGCAGGTCCCAACACAACCAAGCCACTTACCATAGGCAAAGATCAGGTCCATCAGGACGTTGAGGCTGAGCTCAGAGTGCTTCTGGATCAGGTGGTAGGACAAGGCTCGGAGCAGAGGCACGCAGCGCCGGTTCTGGTAGGCTAGAGTCAGCGTTACTTTCCGGATGTCATCAGGGTTGAACTGTTCGGCAAGCTCCAGAGCCTGCCAAGAAATATTTTGAGCAGGACCATAAAGGGAAAGTATAAAGTGAGGGGCAGGTAGAGTCTTCTTCCAGAACAGGACACACCATCATGTTCGTAGGAGCTACTCATTGTTAGTTCAGGCTCTGCTTCTGCTGACAACCCCACCAGGCCCAGCTACAGCCTTTTGCCTCATCACACACTGGGGTCGGGAGCGTTTGTTTATCCCCAGGGAGAGGGATACAAACTACAAGATATCACTGTGGCTGATGTTTGGCCAGTCTGCAGCACAGGCTGGACACTGAATTTGATGCAGGGCTCTGACCTGAGAGACATTTCCCTACTCTGATGAGACAGAAATAGGGACCCACTGAGCACTGGCGGGGACAGACCTGTCCCCTTTGAAGATGACAGATGCCCAGAAGGTGAGGACAGCACAGACACAGCTCCTCTCACAGCCTGGCTTGTACAGAGAAGCAAAGAATGATGGTTTTGGCAGCTGTAAGTTACTGCTTGCCAGCTGAGCTAAGGAAATTTGAGCCTGTTCTCTGCCAACCTGCCATAGCTGTGAAGGGAAACACACCAGCTCAGCCCCGCTTCCAGCAGCACAGAGCAGGGTGAGGCACCCACTCTTATCAGGATGGACTGGGAAGGGGCTGTCTGCATGGCTCCTCAAATGGAAACCCCTCTTAGAATCACAGAATCACCCCAGTTGGAAAAGCCCTTGAAGCTCCTTCAGCCCAACCATGAACCTCACCCTGACCATTCCCAACTCCACCAGATCCCTCAGCGCTGGGTCAGCCCGACTCTTCAACTCTCCAGGGATGAGGACTCCCCCCCTGCCCTGGGCAGCCCATTCCAACGCCCAACAACCCCTTCTGCAAAGAAATCCTTCCTCAGAGCCAGCCTGACCCTGCCCTGGCACAGCTTGAGGCCATTCCCTCTGGGCCTGGCGCTGGGTCCTTGGCTCAAGAGACTCATCCCCCCTCTCTGCACCCTCCTCTCAGGGAGTTGCAGAGGGCCAGGAGGTCTCCCCTCAGCCTCCTCTTCTCCAGACTGAACCCCCCCAGTTCCCTCAGCCGCTCCCCAGCAGACCTGTGCTCCAGACCCTGCACCAGCTCCGTTGCCCTTCTCTGGACACGCTCGAGGCATTCAATGGCCTTTTTGGGGTGAGGGGCCCAAAACTGAACCCACTCAGTGAGGGGCGGCCTCACCAGTGCCAAGCCCAGGGCTCAGATCCCTTCCCTGTCCCTGCTGGCCATGCCGGTGCTGACACAAGCCAGGATGCCATTGGCCTCCTTGGCGCCCTGGGCACACTGCTGGCTCATTATCAATCCCCCCCAGGTCCCTCTCTGACTGGCAGCTCTCCAGCCACTCCTCCCCAAGCCTGTAGCGCTGCTGGGGGTTGTTGTGGTCCAAGTGCAGCACCGGCATTTGCCCTCAGTGATACTCGCCCAGTTGGGCTCAGCCCATGGCTCCAGCCTGCCCAGGTCTCTCTGCAGAGCCTCCCTGCCCTCAATCAGATCAACACTCCCACCCAACTGGGTGTCATCTGCAAACTGACTGAGGGAGCACTGGATCCCCTTATCTAGATCATCAATAAAGATGTTAAACAGGAGTGGCCACAAAACCGAGCCCTGGAGGACACCACTCGTGGCTGGATTTAACTCCCTTCACAATAACTATCTGGGCCCAGCCATCCAGCCAGTTTTTTACCCAGTAAAGCATGTGCCCATCCAAGCCTCGAGCAGCCAGTTTCGCCAGGAGAATGCTGTGCGAAATGGTGTCAAAGGCCTTACTAAAGTCAAGGTAAACCTTGGTAAACAGGGGAAACTTCTTACACAACAACCCATAAGCGCAGGCCAAGGTACTATGGAGCAGCAATAAGTTCTGAATAAGTGGGAATTTAAGTGTTCCCATACAGGGCTGAATGGGACAAGACTGTCCTGCTGTTGTCACCTGCAGGAGGTGGCCTGTCTGAAGGGGATGGGGGCAGGAGGGAGAGCCCAAGCCCCTACCTTGTCCTCCAGCCGGTCCATCAGAGCCGGGGAGATGTGCCCGATCTTGCCCATCAGTGCCACCACAGTGCGGGTGCCCTCAAGCTCCGTCCAACGCAGCTCCAGCTTCCTGATGACTTCGTTCAGCAGCTTGCTCTCCTTTCCCTGCTTGATTGCCAAGGCCTCTGCCAGGGAGGAGAGCTGCCTGAAGGTGAGGCGCCGCAGCCGCCACAGCACCTCCTGCTCCACCGACTGCATCTCCCTCCTGCTGTGGTCCATCCCCAGGGAGTAGAGGCTCCTCAGGAGGTTCACCAAGGCGTTATTCCACACATGAGAAATCTGGGAAGCAGGGAGAAATAAGGGAAAGGTTGTGAGGAGAGACTGCACAAGAGTATTCAGTTGCCAGTCATGCCAAACACGAGCTCTGTCTCTACAGAAAGACCTGCACAGCGTTGAGGGGGAGGCAAGAGAGTCCTCCTCAGTCCGAGGTCACCCAGTTATCCCCCACTGCAACACGAGGCCTCTGCTCCTCCTCACAGGTGTAGCCCGAGCAGTCGGAAACAAGCTGGTGCAACCCAGTGCCCCAGTGAGGAAGAGAAACGTCAACTCCTTTACAAGCCGAAGCCATGCACCAATCTCAAGGCATGAACGAGCCTCATGAGGTAACTACACGTCGCTTACAGAGCTGCCACACAGGTGGTGAACTCTCCCTGCCTCAGAGAAGGAAGTTACACAGATTTGCTACTAGCTGGGTGGAATATTTAACTAGACTTCACAGTCCTTTGGAAGCACTTAAGCTTCCTTGTGGTGTGGCTGGGTATAATGAAGAGCGGTGGGAAAGATTCAGGGGTAGAGAGCTGAGGGTCCTGGGGGGTAACACCACAGGGCTCCAGCTTGCCTCAGCACCTCAGGTTAGATGAAACATCCTAAAAGCTCCAATTTCTCTCCAATGTCTCTGAAAGGAGGCTGGGCATGAATCCCACCGGCTGTTGGGAGCACCAGGACTTGCTCTGTCTCCCACTCTGCCTGGCCACCACTGGCTGTGCCCCCACCAGCAGCCCCACAGAATCATCTGAGTTGGAAAAGCCCTCGAAGATCATTTAATCCAACCATGAACCTCACACTGACTGTTCTCAAATGCCCGATACAAAGCAGAGCTCGTGATTTTCCACCAGCAATTGGTCTTCTCGCTTTCACCTCCTTCACTTCCAGCCCAAGCTCCCCCAGCTGTGCCCTGCTGCTGCCAGGAAGCACTAAAAGGCAATTCCAGTCTGAAAGCTCTCCTGATTTACATGAAAAACCTAATCCTTAGTACAAGCTCGGTTCTGAGGGGCCCTTCAGAGCATCATCGCTGCACTGCTGTCCCAGAACAGAACGCAAGGTCCCAACATTACAAAATTATTTCAGAAAGGAGAAGTTGCTTCGAAGTGACCATGTGGGAGGCCAGCAAGGCAATGCTGCAAGATGCTGAATTTCAGGTGGAAGAACCACATGGATTTTAGCAAACAAAGGCCTTAACTCTCTGGCCTGTCCAAACTCCAGTACTTCTGCTGGCATGACAAATTCCCAAAGTGCTGCTCAGAAATGGCTCAGCACTTCCAGCACAAGAACGACCCAAGCGCTGCCAGGGTGCTCTGCTAAAATCTGAAAAAAAAAGTCACAGGCCAGGAGGCAGCTGAGAAAGAAAGCAGAGCTCACAATTTGCCCTGGCTTATTCAGAAAGCCACTCAGAGAACCAGACAGCTCCCCTGGCTGGTCCCTCACCTTTGTCACTCATTCACATGTACGAAACTCACACCCCAGTCTGTTAAGAGCCCTTTCCCTCAACGCTGTCCTGGCCCACACCTCATCAAAACCTCTAGCTCAACACAAGGCCATTACAGGCCGGTTAATTTTAGTTTCTTTGCACCAAAGTATCTTTTCATCTACACAATGACCTCTTACATTCAGTTGCCTACGACTGCAAGGGCAGCTCGTTGGAGGAAAATCGTGTTTCCAGCTACCACATCCCTCTTGGCAGTTTCCTACATTTCAGTCACACTACCTTGAGTGTCATATCACTCATGCAGTGTGAGAGCTTGGCTCTGCCAGCTCCGGGGCATCCCTTCTCCACTGAGGGGTGCCCAGGGTCACCCCTTCAACCCACGGTGACAGCAATGCAGCAGCAGTACTTTCACTCCAAATACAGCAGCACAGAAGTGTTTCACCTCAACGGAGCTATCCGGGCAACCTCAGGACAAATCCCAACTCTCTGCTACCCTTAGATGTGTTTTAGGGAGCAGAGGGATCAGGAGAAATATGAAGCAAGTACAGAATGCTTGTACCCCCAGAACCCTGCCTGGACCTGAAGTTCAACAAGCCAAATCCACAGGTCGGGGCAACCCCCAGTGCCAGCACAGGCTGCAGGATGAGAACAACCTGGGGGAGAAGGATCTGAGGGTACTGCTGGGTGAAAAATGGGACATAAGCTAGCAATTGCACTCACAGCCCAGAAAGCCAATCATACCCTGGGCTGCATCAAGAGAATTTTGGCCAGCAGGGCAAGGGAGGGGATTCTCTCCTTCTACCCAGCACTCTGGAGAAGACTCTATTGAGACCATCCTGTGGCCTTTCAATATATATAGGGGCTTATAAGAAAGACGGAGGAAGACTTTTTACTGAGGGCTGTAGTGACAGGACAAGGGGCAACATTTTTAAACCAAAAGAGAGTAGGTTTAGATTGGACATAACGAAGAAATTCTTCCCTGTGAGGGTGGTGAGGCCCTGGCACAGGTTTCCCAGAGCAGCTGTGGCTGCCCCCTCCCTGGAAGGGATCAAGGCCAGGTTAGACGGGGCTTTGGGCAACCTGGGCTAGCGGAAGGTATCCCTGCCCGTGGCATGGGGGTTGGAATTGGGTGATCTTTAAGGTCCCTTCCAACCCAAACCATCCTGTAATCCCATGACACGGGGTCCACAAGCTGCAGGTATTTCTGTAGCAGCCAGCTGGGCCAGCACCAGCTGCCGAATTTGAAGGGGCTCCCAAGGTTTGGCTGTACAACACGCTGGGCACAGTGCACTGGCTCCCCTCAAATGCCCCATCTTACCCAGTAGCTTTTCCCAGGGCTGAGAACCAGTGGGAAGAATCACAGCAGGATTCACCAGGATGCCGGGGTGAGACATCTCAGGCACCAGCATGTTCTCACAGGCTGCCTGGCTCTGACGTATCTTTGCCACTAACTGGCAAAGTTTCAGCTTTATCTGACTGAGAAAGCTAAAAATGCATGGGGACAGGAGCAAGACAGCACTTAACGAGGATGATCTCTCTGCTACATTATGCCTCTAGTCCAAAAAGCATTGCTTTTAGATAAAAATAATCAGGCACCCTGCCTAGAGCTGATAATTTCACCTCCTGATCCCCTTATTTTTTACTTGGAAAGCCAAAATAAAATCCTGAACAAGCAGGTGGTTCCAGCCAGCCATGCCAGTTCAATCCCAGGAGCACCAGCCACTGGGATTCTTTCCCCCAAAACTCTTCTGTGGGTGGGAGGGAACTTACCTGGGAATCCATGATGCTGATGAGCTGTTGGAAACGATGATCTTGCAGAATGCTCTCTGTTTCCAATTTTTTTTCCGCTGCGAGCCGGGAAAGTTGAGTAATTATTAGTGCAGCTTCGTTGCTATTAAGAGTGTGGAGGACACTCAACTGCAAGAGTTCTTGAGGACTCGTGGCTGTTTCCATCAGTTCCCTGATCATTTTGTGGTCTTGATTCCTGTTGTCTTCCACCTGCTCTTTGACTGAAAATCCATCTGCCCAGCTGGAAGGGCTCGAAATATGAAATGAAGCGAAAGGTGCTTGAGACAGAGCTCTCGCCATCACCACCTTCCCAGCTGGTGCCAGCAGAGAAGCCGGGACTGCTGAGGGAGCAGAGACCAAGGCACCCAAGTGCCGCCAGCAGCAGCGTCGCACCAAGTGGACTGCCATGGTGGAAGGTGTGTGAGGTGGGGGAGGAAGGCTGGTAGCTGTAACCGGCTGGAGGTCAGCGCTACATTTTAGGAATGCTACAAAAGGAAAATAAACCCTTTATGAGCATAATTTCAGAGATAGAGGAGGCAGCTGATTCTGGGTAATGATTGTGAGAACTGCTTTGAGTGGCAATACTGGATGTGAAGAGGCAATAAAAGCTTTCTGAGGACCAATCGACCCAACACTACTGTGGAAGAGGCTCCGCTCTTCTCGGCTGAGGCTCACCTGTCACCAGACCCCCCAAGGGGCTCCTCAAGGTAGCACCCAACCACCCCAGAGCGGCTGCCGTCGGCTCTGAGCACACCCAGATCCTCCCCAGTCTCGACCGGGCCTCCAGGGACACGGCGCCCTTTCCCCAGCTGCTCACAGCTTTCCCACACCATCCTCTCGGGGTTCCCTCCTTCCCTGCCCAGCCCCGCTCCGCAGAGCCCCGAGCCTGGCCTCCACCCCCCGGAGCTGCTCCCATCAGAGCCTCCACCCCGGGTTACCTCCCCACAGGCCCATCCCTCCGCCCCCGGACTCTTCTCCTCAGAGCCCCCGGGCCCGACCCACCCCGCACCCCGGGCTCTTCCCCCC